AACTCAGAATTTGTTATCAGGTACAGTTAAATGTCCATCTTCTTTCTGCTGGTTATGGAATATAGATTCCGTTTTCCTCAGTGCAAAATGGGGATAATTGGACCAAAATCACAGGTTTCTTATGCAGATATTTGCATAGTTTCTGAAACAAAAATTATTCAATAGTGGAGTTATTATTGTTATAATGGTAACAATTACTATTTTAAATTTAAAGAAATTCCAACCACAGTCCAAGAACTCTAGGTACTCAAGACACTTGAGTTCTGTGTTTAATTCTTTTGGGATCTGAACTCAGATAACCCTCAAATGCCACACTAGAACATGGCAGTGATGATTAACAAGATGCATCTTATAGCCTCGGCCTCAGTGCCAAGGTCATTTGTATGTCTTGGCCAGATATTGCATCTGCATTTCCCTCTATCCAATGCAACTGCAACGCTAGGCCTGATCCTGGGCTTCTACCCTGGCCAACACCAAGTCAGATGCGCTGACATTGGATCTTTTCTCAAGAGAGCAGCGTTAAGTGTCATTACCATAAGGAATCTAAATGCTAATGACTACCAAACTTATTTCTTCAGTTCTACTTTCTCCTTTGTTTTTCTTACCCTCCTCCACCTGCTTATTTTCCACGTTCCTTCAAGCGTGAAGCATCTCAAAGGTAGCAAGATCATTAAAGAACTCCTGACATTCTATCCCCTCACCTTGCATAGTCCTGTCCTTCTCTCTTATTTCAATAAATAGCCAAGTACTTAGGCCAGAATTGGAGCAATCAATGTTCTCTGGTTTTCTTGGACACCCTAGATCCAATACATCAGCAATACTGATCAGCAACTTTACCTTCAGAATATGATTTCAATGTGATGACTTCTCACCATTCCCCTTTCCACTACCATCTGACATCTCACCCCAGACACCTATTTCCCATTCATTAATTCACTTCCCGTATTGTTACAACTGGTGCCAGGTCAGGACAAAGCCAGGATCCAGGAATTCAGTCCTGATTTCCCTTCATGGGCGGCATTGAGTCATTTCCTGTTGCCTCCCAGGCAATGCATTAAGCAGGGAAGCTGGAATCGGAGGTGGAACCAAGACTTTAACTCAGGAACTGTGATTCGTAATGAAGGTGTTCCAAGCAGCCTTTTAAGTACTGCACCAAACATCTGTCGCAAACACCAGCTTCTGATCTAGCTCCTGCCTTCACACTAGCCAGGCCAATGCCTACAGCCTCACACACTGTACAGGACATCCCCAGGGACCACACACACACACACACACACAGAAATGTGTGGCATTCATCAGGAGTTGTGCAAGGCAATGACACTACTTTCCCTGCTCCAGTCACCTTTTCACAGAGCAAACTTCAATTTTAAACTAAAACCCATTTCTGCTCTGCTTGGAACTCTCTAGAACCTCATTTTCCATAGTATTTGTTTTATTTTTTAAAGAATGTTTTGTCTGGATGCATAGAGACATACTGCACTTTGTCTCTACATCTGAACATATCGGTCTCTGCCTCATTTCTGTTATACATTAGCTTAAATACAGAGCCAGTGAATACAGTCCATAACAGGGAGAAAAAGAGTAAATTTTCATCAACATGAAGTTAACAAACATGTTACAAAAATACCATTGTGTCTCTCCAGTGATAAAAATGAAAATCAAAAAACTTCTTGTGCAAATTGATGGTGCAGTATGACCCATCTGGCACTGAAATAAATCAAACCATCTCTTAGGATGATCAATTAATGGATCACAAGAACTTATTGAAAAATATACAAATAATTAGGAAGTATAAAAAGGTAAAATTATAGCAAAAATAACTAGATTTGACACCACAAAACTGCATATTGAAACAAAAAAAAACCACCATTCCCTATGAAGATGAGCAAAACAACCCCTCGCCATGTTAGCACTGAGCATCATCAGGTGTCAATCACTTAAAATCAGAAATGAAAGAGAAACGGTCCTAACTTTTTGTTCTTTTACACGGGACATTGTTGGCTTGGTCAGTTGTAGGGATTGTAATGTTTTGTTGTCTAAGTATACTTGTAGGTTTTATTGGGAGTTGATCCTCATTCCTTAGTAGAGATGTCTTCTGTTCATTTTCCTTGAGTCCCGTTGTTCTGATCTCAATTACATCCTTTGTTTGTGGAGTTACATGTGTGTGTGTTCTTTATTTTTTTGTTGTGTATTTTTGATGGAAGTTATATTAGAGTGAACATATAATATCTGACTTTTTGGTATTAGCTCATTTCCCTTAGCATAAATGGTCTCCATTTGGGTCCATTTGGGTGCAAATGATAGAATTCCATTATTTTCAATAGCTGAGTAGTATTCCATAGAGTAGATGAATCACAGTTTCTTTATTCAGTCCTCTATCAATGGGCATACAGGTCAGTTATTTCCATGTTTTTGCAATTATTGATTGTGATGCAATGAATAGAGGGGTGCCGTTGCTTTCTTATGTACCCGGTCCTTTGGATATATTCCCAGAAGTGGGATTGCTGGGTCATATGGTAGGTAAATTCTCAGTTGCCTAAGTATTCTCCATACCAACTTCCATAGTGGCTGCACCAGCTTGCAATCCTACTAGCAATAGAATAGAGGTCCTTTTTCTCCATATCCTTGCCAGCAGGTGTTGTTGGTAGTTTTCTGTATGTGGGCCATTCTCACTGGAGTCAAGTGGAACCTCAGTGTTGTTTTATCTGAATTTCCTTTATTGCTAGCGAGCTTGAGCATTTGTTAGCCATTTGGATTTGTTCCTTTGAAAAGTGTTTTATTATTTCCTTAGCCCAATTCTTGACTGGTTTGTTTGTCCCAGTGAAACAACTGAAAATGTCCTGACAGTAGGACGCTGGATGCTTCGACATTGTCCATGCTCATAAGTCGGGAAGCACCTCAATGACAGCATGATAGACTTATGACTGGTCATGAGGGACCACTCCTTGTGATACTAGAGGGGAAATTAATGGCAGGGGAGGGAACTTGGGAAGGAAAACAGGAAATACCAGAGCATAAGGAGCAGTATCATGAAACAATTTAAAAACAAATAAACAAAACTAAAGTACTTCTGTAATATCAATGCTAGTTAACATGATAAATAATTAAAATGGGCATGTTATATATAACATGCACATGCATTTGTACATGTATTTGTGCAGCATTCCAACAACATTGAAAAGAAAGTAATAGCCTTTTTTCTAAACCAAGGACTGAAAATAAAAGCATAACACATGCCAAAGGGAAAAAAAGAATATTTTGTTTATTTAAAATGCAAACTGACAGAGAAAGAAACAGATCTCTAATCTGCTGGTTCACTCACCAAATGGCTACAATGGTTACCCGGGGGCCAGGGACCTCATCTGAGTCTCTCATGTAGGTGACAGGAGTCCAAGTACCTGGACCATCCTTTGATGGGTTCAGGGGCAGAATAGCAGGGAGCAGGACTGGAATCTGAACAGCACGTTCTTGAACATGAGTTAGTATGATGGTGTCACAAGCAGTGGCCTAATAATGCACTTTGCTTTATTTATTTGAAAGGCAGTGTTACCGAGGTAGGGAGAGACAGTGATGACTGCTATCTGCTGGCTTAAATCTCCAAATGACTCACAGCTGGGGCTGGGCCAGGCCAAAGCTGGAAGTCAGGAATGCTCTCCCCGCATCCTTCCCTCCCTCCCTCCCCTCTCTCTTTCTGATTTATTCTTACTTGGAAAGTTACACAAAGAGAGGGTGTGACAGAGAAAGAGATCTTCCATCTGCTGGTTGTCCCCAAATGGCAGCAATGGGTAGAGCTGGGCCCATCCACAGATGGGAGTTAGAAGCTTCCTATGATCTCCTACCTGGATGCATGGCCCAAGGACCTGGGTCATCTTCTGCTGCGTCATAAGCAGGGCGCTGGATCAGGAAGTGGAGTAGCCGGTACTCAAAGCATGCGCATACGTGATCCTGGTGCCAGAAGGTGGATTAGACTGTGCCAGCCCTGAGCAAGGAGATTCTTTGTGATTGTTCCACATAGGTATAGGAGCTCAAACCCTCGGGCAATCTCCTGCCGCTTTCCCGGGTGCATCAGCAGGGAGCTGGCTTAGAAGTGAAGCAGCCAGGACTGGAACTGGCATCACAGGCCGCTGCACTCTAACTTAAAGATTTATTTTTTGTTAAGTCTAATTTTAGTTGAGTTTTTGCTCAAATGTTCCTTCTAGCAAAGAGCTTTTTTGATCATCTATGACTGAAGTCGGTATTATTTAATTTTCTTTATATAAATGATTCTACTTCTGTACTATATTTACTAGTTTATTTTGTTCTCTGCGTTTCCCATAAACATTACTGTTCATGAGGGTGGAGTCTTGGTCATTTTATTCATCTCATTGTGTTCCCCAGAAAGGCTAGTGCATACTGACTGTTCCATGGACATACTGAACATGGAATTTACTCATTGGTTCATGTTTTCCTTCCTTCCTTCGTTTGCAATACCCCTTATCCGCACTGCCTCCTTTTATCCTCACAGCGATGTGATCATTTTTATGAATTCAGAGACGTCTACTGAGATGAAGAATCTGAGCCACAGGAGGTTGTCAAAGTAAAACGGCTCCATCAGCTGAGAGCTTTCAGCTCTAGGAAATTCTTACCCACTTAGCGGCTCTGAGGCAGTTGGTGAAATAAAGGATGGGAAAACGAGTTAATTAGGGCAAAGTGTACAGTGTACATGGGAAGTATGTTAGTTTTGCTGCAATGATAGAAAACTGCCATCATTCAGAGGCTGTTGATAATAAATGTCTGCTTTTTACATATATTTATCCAAGGCTGTGGACCAGCCAGGCTCAATTCGGTTCATGTATCTTCTTACCAGGCAACCTAAAAATGCAGCAGTGACCAGCGTCTAGCATGTGCCCAGGCACACAGCCCAACATTGCGCACACTGAGAGTTCACGCCCTGCGTGCTCGTGCCTGGCCTGCGTGGCGCTCGGGGGCGAGCACGCTCCACGACGCTAATGGTGGGGAACATGGCGGCCGCGTTGCTCGTGGTGTTGGGGCTCGTGCTCCTGCGTGTCGAGGGCCTCGATGTGGGTTTGGGCAGCATCCATACTTCTGTGGAGGAGGTGGGCTCCAAGATACGCCTCACATGTGTCTTGAATGACACTGCCACAAAGATCACCGGCCACCGCTGGATAAAAGGGGACAAAGTGCTGAAGGAGGACACCCTGCCTGACGCAACAACCGCGTACGAGGTGGACGCTGCCAACAAGACCGGGGACTACTCCTGCCTCTTTCTCCCGGAACCCGCGGTGAGGGCAGAACTATCTTTGAGCAAGTCCCCTAAAGTGAAGGCCGTGAAGAAGTCGGAGAGCGCTGATGAAGGTGATTCCATCACGCTGGCGTGCAAGTCAGAGTCCTTCCCCCGGGTGACCCACTGGACCTGGTACAAGAAGGCCAGCACCGGAGACCGAGAGATTGTGAATGGCACCCAGGACAGGTTCTTCGTGAACAACACGGAGAGCGACTCGGAGGCCAGGTCAAAGCTACTCATCAAAAACCTCGACAGGAACTCTGACGGCGGTGAGTACGTGTGCAACGGCTCCTCCTCCAGCGGCTCCGGCTCGGCCGTGATCGTGCTGCACGTGCGCAGCCGCCTGGCGGCCCTGTGGCCCTTCCTGGGCATTGTGGCCGAGGTGCTGATCCTGGTCACCATCATCTTTGCCTATGAGAAGTGTCAGAAGCCGGAGGTGGTGGTGGAAGACGATGACGCTGGGGCGACACCGCTGAAGAGCAGTGGACAACACTTGAACAATGAAGACAAGAGCGTTCGCCAGAGGAATCCTATCTGAGCAGCTGGGAGCCATCTGTACCGTAACCCTGCCCCCCTCCCAGTGTTTGTCCGTAGAGCTGGGAAATCTCTCGTGTCTGTCAGAAAACCCACTCGGCAAAAGCAAACTAATAACACAAATCAAATATGTCTTTTTTTTTTTTTTTCAACTAAACTGGGGTTTTCGGTACATAGAGTTAGTTTTGTTCTGTTGGGGGATGCTTTCGTTTTTTACATGTTTCACTGGTGCCCCAGGGGCTCAGCAGGATACCGGGAGGAGCCTATGCCTGTCCCTCAGCTGTCCCCTGGCTGAAGCTGAGTTCCCAGGGTAGGGGGAGGGCAGCCCTCCCTGTAACTGCCTCTGTTCCCCACTGTGGAATACCTACTGGAGGCATTGGTCTCCTACTTTCATGCAGATGTTGTCTGGCTCTGTCCTGCCAATCCTTACCATTTTGGGGATGGGATGTCCACTCGACGGCTCTGATGTCTTAGCTAATAGGACTTACCGGTCTTTAGGGTGATCCTTTCTCTACTGCCTCTCGCCTTCTCCCCAGCTGGGAAAGTAGCTCCTACTCATGATCAGGGCTGTACGCACAGAGGCCTCAAGAAGTAATGTTTACACTCAACTGACTTTGAGCTTGACTGTGAGACACACTTTTGGCCAATGGACATTAGGAATATTTGACATTTGCCCTACTTAGTGAGGAGCTTTATTTTTTTGTCGGGAGAGAGGGAGGGTAGGTGGAAGTGGAATACAGCATTAAATTTATAGGTGTTACAACACACAAACCTCACTTGAAGATACACATTCATGCTGTTTGCGTTCTCTCTGGGGCCTCATGGGTAACTCTTCAGTTAACACCTTTTATCAATATTTTAGTGGGCCACAATCACTTATTTAACAACTCTTCTAATTTGGGATAAGCCATTATTCTGTGAGAATTGTTTCTTTGCTTTTCTCCTGTGATAAGCTGGTGGTCTGCAGAAGCCACTGTCTTGTCCACTTGTTGATTGGTTCATGGTGGGCACTGATTTAAGGCCCACCAGTAGGAATAATTATTTTACACATAGGAGACTGCACTAATTCTCTTCACAGGACAAAAAGAGTGATGTAAATCTATGCAGGTTTAGGCTTTGGTATTCCTTTTTGTGAACAAAGAAAGCCTGAGTGAGAAAGCAAAAAGATGGATACAATGAAAGAGTGAGAGAAAAGACACATAGGCCACTGAAGTACTTTGCAAGTCCCATGTCCAGCCACATTACTGCCCTGATTGTAACTGATTTTCCCTTTCTTATCTTATAAATAATTAATCGCTACAGTTTGACCTAAGATAGTTAATGTCCTATTTTTGCTACTTCCAAGTAAGTCATACTTCGAAGTATAATGGCATGTAAAATCTTATCCTGAAAGAAGGGATTTGAGAGTGAACCTTGTGGGGACAGAATAAACATATCAAGGGTGGACAGAGGAAGAAGGGACTCTGGGTAAGCGAACAACAAGAGAACTTGGAGGCAGTGGAAGGTTGGCTCATTTTGAGAGAATAATCTAGAGGGAATATGTGATTGGCATTGGTAACATAGTACATGTTTCTGAGAAGATCAGATAGGAGCAAAACACAATATAACATTTAGCCATAGATCACTGCTAATTTCTACAGAAGTCATAATTAGGAGAGTCATGGAAGTAGAAGCTAACCAGCAAATGGAGTAAGCAGAAGCTGAGAAAATTCTGATTGCAAGTATGAATGGCGATAGGAGATGGGGCAGTAAAAGCTCATCTCTTAAAAAGGTGAAAATTGTGTATCTGGTGCAAAAAGAGTTTCAAGCCCCTCTTTGCCTTATAATGGAAGAGATGTAATTGTTAAATCTTTATTGAACACTGTTGTATTTTAGATATCATGTCAGGTATTGAAATTAAAAAAAAAAACAAGATTAAGTCAATTATGACATATCCATAAAAATTCAAAACTAACAGTTCTAAAAGTGATGTTATAAAAGGACTGTCTAAATAATAATCTGTTAGAATGAAGTTTTTTTTAAGCCAAGCTAAAATTTAGCATGTCAACACAGCCCAATTTATTGCATCTATTATGCCAGGTTGGATTCAAGGACAAATGATAGAAGGATACACAAAATGTCAGTAGTGGATAATGGTGATATTGGAATTGGTAGGAAATTTAATTTCATTCTTTTTCTTATCCACATTTTCCATATTTATTTATTTATTTTTAAAACCATTTTTTTTACTCACGCTATCAGCACTGTGTTTTTTTTTTTTTTTGGCAATCTTTACATAGTTGTAGGACACAAAGGGTCAATAACTACAGGAAAGTGGGTAAGACCATTGTTTCTACATTATTGCTTTTTTTTTTTTCCGTATCTGGGGTAAGGGGGAGATAAAGGGAGAAGTTCCACCCAGCCTCCCACCCATCCCAGGTCCCCAATGTGGGACATGCTCTGAAGGTCATGTAAAGTGGTTTTAATAATTCAACAGTTCTGAATTGCTGCCAGTCTCACCCTTACAAGCATGATGAAATTGGTGCAGTGTCCACTGGTTGACAGCCCACCTTAGAGTCTCTGTCCAAATTTTCACTGCTGACACATGGCTGGGGTGGATGATTGGTTTGCTCTGTTGTCCATCCTCTGTTGTGGTACCAGGTGTCCCCAGCAGGTTCCGATGGACTGCCATATGCTCCATGTGCACCTGGGTATGCTGTCCATTGCTCCATCTGAGCTTCTAAGGAGGATCAACTTGGACACTTGCAGACCATGAAACCTGCACTTCTCTGATCTGAGACATGATTCTTGTGTGTACCTGCCAGTACAGAGTCCAACACAGTCTGTCACCCCAATCTGCTGGTGGGTCAGTTCTGTTTCCAGCCCTGTCTTCCACATGAACAAATGCATGTTGCAGTCCAGCCTAATCCTTCTGCAAGGCACACACTCAGCCCTCAAATAAACCAGTGGGGGACTAAAGCCTAGTCAGAGCGATCTGCAGTAACACCTACCAGGCCTGCCCCATGCCCTCATTCCCATGCTTGCCACTATGTATGGCAGACTTAATCCAATCTGTCCCACATTCCATTCCATTCAGCCCTCATACACGTCAATGGGCGTTGAAGCCTAGTTCAACCAAACTGGTTGGGTCCACTCTCCAGCCCACTCACATGCTGGCGGGTGCCGTTCTGTCTAGCCACCACTGCCCCAGTCCTCATTTTCATGCTCTGCAGTGGGAGTGGTAACCCAAGAGGGAGGTGCCCACTCTTTGCCTACTGGTCCCACTCCCACTCCTGGGTCATGCACTGTCCAGGTGGTTCTGCAGTTTAACTTAGCAGAATTATCGCCCGGTGCCAGCGTCTGCTATCTGATGCTGTGGTAAAGCCCAACCAACCCTCACTATGGGAATTTCCCAAGTTCCCCTACTTGCCCCACTCCAGACCCAGTTCTTATACATGCCAGTGGGTGTTAGGCCAGTGTCCTGTATAGTCTGCCCCTCCATTTTGGCCATATATGAGCTGGTGAACATTGCAGCCTGGTCCACCTCACACCCTATTTTAGGATGCTGCTGCTTTGGCCTACCCAGACTGTTTTCAGTTCCTTTATCTGTGAGTGATGGCAGGTTCCATGGTTACACCTAGCTCGGTCCATCACTACCCTAACTCTTGAGCTAACCAGGAGACTAGTATTTCCATAGTGTTTGTCCCACACATCCCCCCCAGAATCTACCCCTGGACTTGGTATTCTCGTGTGCTGGTTAATGTCATGGCCATGCCTAATGTGACCCATCCCCTGATCCAACATTCTGCCAGGTACTAGGTTGCAATAAGAAATATATACACAGAGGGCAAATTTTAAAAACAGATATATATAGATCCTGATGTGATCTATACATAAAGAAAGAATAGAAAAACTGCCAAGAATGTATAACTCAACTTACTAAATCCAAAGACAAGTGTTCATATGAACCGGGAGTGGTTATTTCTGCCTTGGGAAGCTGAAAGCCCCTCAGAGGAATCCATGTTTGAAGGAGGCCTCGACAAATGAGCTAGAGTTGACTTTGTGTAAAAAGACGACAGAAAAAAAATGTGTAAAGCAGGGAAGCACATAAAGTTCCCAAGGAATTTTTGAGGAGTTTGGGTGGCATTATAGAAGTCACAGTGGGATATGGCTTCCTCCGATGCTCCCTCTGAAGCAGGGACTTCCTTGTGCAGTGCAGGCAATGGAGATAAGGCAGCAGAGGTAAGCAGACCTTTTCATGAGGATGATTGCTTGGCATGGCAGGAAAGGATGTACTGGAAGGGTGTGAGGTTGGGGAGGAGGCTGAAAGCCCAGTAACAAAGTGGTGAGAACTGACCTACAAGGTGGGAGGTGGACTGGAGAAGCAGAGCTGTGTTTCAGAGACACACTACCCACACTGTACCCAAGAGGAATGCATTTCAAGACCCCAATAGATGCCTGGAATCATAGGTAGCTCTGAATCCAATATTTGCTATGGTTTTTCCTATGCCCATGTACTGATGCTATGCTTTATCATTCAGGCACAGGAAGTAATTAGCAGTTGCTACTACCAATAAACTAGAACAATTATAGCAATATATTGTGAAAAAATTGCCAGCATCTATCTCAACTTTTGTGTTTTCTGGTCATTATTTAATAACATAAGAGTTCGTTGAAGTCAAACATTTTGATACCCAGGGAGGCCAATAATCTAACAACTGAGATGGCTATTACATGACTAATGGACATGTAGCATACACAGTGTTGATGCATTTGACAGATGATCTGTATCATGAATTAGGCAGCATTGGATGGCATGAGGTTTCACAATGCTTTCTCATTGTTCATCATCAGAATGATGCAGAATTTAAAACTTAGAAACTACTTATCTATGGTATTTTCTACTTAGTTTTTGCAGAGCATGGTAGACAATGGGCAAGTGAAACCACAAGAAATGACATCATGGATAAGGCTGGGGACACTATTGTGTATAAGAAGAGTGAGTAATTGATAGGCTTTAATAGC